CTGCTAGTGCTGGGGCGGGGTCAACTTAGCCAGAGGTATGGGGCTTGCTGAAGCCAGATGCTGCCTGCTAGAGAGAATTTAGGAAAATCTGAAGCATGGGCCAAGACAAGCCATTTATACGGAAAAGCCACTGGAAACAGTTTGGGTGGTCCTGAAAGATGGATGGGGCAGGGCCCAGGGAGTCACCAGAGTGGGGCAAACAGTGTGAGCCAAGTTGATGGAGTCTCAGATATGGCACCTGCCTGTCAACTCTGTGGCTCTGTGGGAAAGAGGACTCAGAAAGAAAAAACAAAGGTCACTGCCAGTACTTCTGTTTGGGAGAAAGCTGCTCCCCAGCTCTCGTCTGATGCTGGACAATTCAATTCCTCTCAGTATGTCTCTGATGACTTTCGATCTGCTTCTCCTGTGCTGGAGCTCAGAGGGAGCGTTAGCTCAAGTTAGTCTGTGCATGGGCCCTTTAAGGGGAACTGCCTGAGGCTCCAGAAGTTTCTGTCATCCACAACCTCAATCCCCACCTGTTTTTACAACCAGAAGTTATGGAGACTTATCTTTCTGGCACTGGTACCCTGGCCATGGGGTCCTGACATGGGACTGGGAATCCTCGCTCCTCAGACATCCCTCCCAATTTTTATCTGCCACATGTGGGTATGGGACCAGCCTGTTCCATGTCTCCACCCCTATTCTAAGCTTTCTATTCTCTTCCAAATATTTGTCTATTTTACAAACATCATACTATTTAATTAATACCTGGCATTACAAGTTTTCCTTCATAATTCCTCTTTATATAAACATTTTCTGGCTCTTATTTTTTATAAAAATGAAACTCAGAATCACTGACCTGGAAAAAACATTATTGTTGAGATTTTGATTAAAATTATATTAAACTTACGAGTAAATATAAAGAGAATAAAATGATTAATGAATTGTCTTCATATCTAGAAACACTGAGTGCCCACATCCTCATGGTGAAGTTTAATAGTTTCCTTTCTATGTGCCATTCACATTTCTTACAAAGTCTAATCTTCAGCATACTTTCTGTTGCTACTATGAATGGCCTCCTTTTTTCTCATACTCCTGAACTGGTTATAATTACTATATAGGTCACATTACATTATTTATAATGGAATTTTTACTACACTCCATTAGTTTCAGTTGATCATCTTGGGGATTTTTTATTATCTATAAATAATTCTATCCTTTTCAACAGTTCTTTTGCTTTTCTTAATACACTAGCTTCATATTTCAGAGCTATTTCAGATAGTAGTGATGATAGTTGGTTATGTTGTTAATTCAAACAGGAGATAAAATTCTGTTTTTTCACCATTATTGGTATTTTGGTTACTGACAGCTTGATTCCAATTTTGTTTAAAAAATTATGGATACTTCCAAAATATTAACTAAATAATTCTCTAAACAGTGAGAGAATGAGTGATTTTATTTTTCTTCACATTTTGCCACTAAATGGATTATTTAGGTTTTCTAAATCTACCTTTGTACTTTTTAAAATTTAAATTTTGTTGATTTATGTTTTTAAAAGAATCATCTATTTGATTGAGATTCTCATACATATGTGGAAAAATACCTAGAAAAGTATTATCACTTTTTATCTACAGATACTATGGTTATATCCTCTAACTTCTCATTTTGTATACTCTTATTTGACTAGCCATAAACTCTTCCAGTTTATTTTCCAAGTTTCCTAGAATGAATGGGCATACACACCTTTCCCTCCTACTTCTTTTAACATTTCTTACTTATGGAGAACATTTAACTGCAAATCATTTTGGTTAGTGAACAGCATTTTGCAAAAGGCAAGAGAGAAGCAAACATTAAAAACCTTTTTCTTTTAGAAAAAATATTCTATTGTCCTTTGTGAAAGACAGCATACCTAAAAATAATGTCTGGATACTAATTTCTCAAAGTAAATTTATTCTGTTTATAAAAATGATACCCCATCTTTTTCATTAAAATACATTTGTGCTTAAGACAACAGTATAAGATGCCATAAAGTAAAAATATTAATAATTTGATATTAGCAAAATCAAAACATTCCCTGATCAGAGTTCCATGAAAACCAGATTCCAATACTCTTAATATTAAGATTTGCATTTAACAAATGTATATGGCAATTTCTTCAAACTATTTCTTTCTTCATTAAGTATTATATTGTCCCATCTGAAATGAGTTTGAGATACATTATCAAAAAATGTCAACTTCAAATATAAACAACTAAACTTTGCTTTTTTACTCTCCCAGGGAAGTTTCAAAATGCTAAAAAAATGCAAACTGTTCTCTCTGTTCTAAAAACAGAAATGAAATAATGAGGTCACAATAGATGGCTCCTTTCTTGGAGGAAAAAAAAATGATGATGAATGCAAACGGAATGTTTATTGTCACTAAAATTCTTCAGGCCTAGATTCCAAGTACATGCATCTTGATGCAGGTTACTATGACAACTTAAATTACATAAAATGTTCCCCCTTCTACCAAGTTGTTTTCTCCAAGAACACTTCCAGCCTCCTAAAATGTGTGTGCATGTGTTACCTGTAACAACACTAAATATCTGTTTGCCAGTTTTATTCAGAAATACCCTAATCTAACCCCTGAAAACCAAGACTAAGCATACAAAAATAAATTCCATTAAGTCTACACAGGACAGAAAACCTAACTTGAAAACACTCAAAACACACACACACACAGCTTAAAATATAAAATGTTGTGAGCATTTTGAAAGTACTCCTCGTTACCAGAGGCACAGTATGTTACCACCATGCACTTCATCACAGAAACTATGGGAAATTACTTGCAAGGCCATTATGAAAGAAGAATATAGAGCTAAATCCTGTTTATCATTATTTCCCCCTCACTAATGGTTTTACAGGAAGGTACCAGAAAAGGGAGGGTGGGGGAAGTCCTATTTCAAACAGAGAAGCAAATAAACAATCTGTAAGATCTTATTTTGATTTACTCAATCTTTTTTTTTTTTTTTTTTACAGAAAATATGGGCTTTATAGTTTGCTCTCACAGTTTCAAATTTATAAACCTATCAAAGAGGCCTTGTGATAAACTGTGAATTATTCTCTATCATCATGCTTTAAAAGAATAATGGCTTGGGAAAAAAAACTGCATCATTATGGAGAAAATGCAATTTGGTACAGATAATCTGATTGTAAGACATTAAAAATTTAAAGTAGCTCCATTTAAAAAAAAAGGCATAAGGTCTTTTACAGTGTAGCAATATTGAGAATTAAAAGCTGGCTTTGTTGTGCATCCAAGTTAACATGACTAAAATTAGATGCTTCATTCAGAAAGACTTGGGGAATTCATATACTCTCCCTTCTATGAATAAGCTGGGTTACTTCAGTAACTAGCACAGGCAAAAAAAGTTTTATAAGATTCATGTATAGCCAGCTAAGTCCTAGCCCAGGATCCCTTCATTTATGTAAATCAAACAAAACTTAATTTAAAAAGGAAAACAAAACAGGATGCTAAAGGAGCCTCTTTGTACTTGAAGTCAAGAATCGGTCATTTAATTTTTAGCATACTGAGCATCTGAGCAGAAACAGCAAAAAATGAAAACTATTCAGTAGCAAACTGAAGTAACTTATACTTCTTCTACCTATACTAGTGGATAACTACCAGTTTTTCAACAGAAACAAAATAATTAAATTGCTCAAACTCGAATGTACACAATCCCTCAATATTAAACTTGAACCACAGTTCCTTCGTGGTATAACTCAATATATAAATCCTCCTAAACAGAAACAATTCATGTATAAAAGAAAGATTTATAGAACAGCTTTATCAGTACTGGAAGCTAAAACTAAAATGTAAGTGCCTGTCCAATCATGGAGAAAACTTTACTCAGCTGAGATACATAATACATTTTTTTCCTTATGCTTTTCTTCTTTAGACTGTAATACAAATAATAAAGTAAGGCATTACGAAGAGCAAGGCTCAACTAGGATTTTTCAGGTCTCACATGGACAAAACCAAATGGCCTTATTACAATCAGACCATCATTTACTCTCAACACTTGCGGCCTTCTAGTAATAATCTCTCCTAATCCACAAGCAACGCAGCACAGTCCACAGGACAAGTGAACTGGTGAGAACATGGACTTGTGCTTTTAGGACTCCATTCCTTCCACATAATCCAGTAATTACTAGGGGCTCTAAGGTTATACTTTTTTTATTTCAAGGGGAAATTAATGTATGTGAGACCTTCGAAATGCCATCATCTAGGAAAAAATGCAAGCATATAACTTTTGCAAATGAGGGATTAAGGAATTTATGAGACTATATACTGGCTGGTGCTCTTACACATTTTATTCACCTGTAAAATGTGAACAGTTTATTCTAAGTAATTCACTTACTACAAACGAGGTCAAATTATTTTCCCTCCTGGGACCAAGAAGTGACTTTGATGTTCAAGAGATATAGAGACGACACACATGGAACACACAAAAAGCAAGTGCAAAGTAATTTAGTTGTATATTCTCATCTCAAGGGACTTTGTGCCCCCCTTTACTTAATGGAATCAATTACTGATGCTACTAAAGAAATGAAAGCTCAAACTATAGGATATATTTCACACTTCTCAAAACCTTCCAGCCTTTCACTGTTAGAAATACACAGGCCTGAGCTCTGAGGCTGTCCGTGAGCATTAGTGGACTAGTGTTCAAGGAAGCCCAAGAACAGCAATACGATTTGTGATATTTGGCTTCAGACTTCAAATTTGGAACCCAAAGCATGTCTCATGATTCTAACAGCATCAACCCAAATTTGAACCTAGGCTTTACACTAAGGTGGCAGAAGATACCATGGTTAACCACATTTACACTGCTCTAAATAAACGGCTTACAAATGATGCTTCTTAAGAGTTCACCAGTGAACACAATCTCTAAAAGTCTCCCAAACTTTGAAAACTAATTTTATTTAAGTCACTGTCAGTGATACTCTTTCAGGATGTACGTAAGGAGTACAAATGTGCACACTCACCTTGTTGCGCCAGAGGCCTAAGGTGGGAAGAGAGGCAGTCTGGGCCGGAGGGAGAGTAGGGCTCCAGGAACAGGCACCTAAAAACGCACACGGAGTTCTTAACAGGCAGGCCTGGCTTATTTTTATCCTAAAAATGCTAAGTCACCCCATTTTAACTTACAATCATTAAAGAGCAAAAATGCACAAGCTTTCAGCCTCAGATTGTTCTCCCAAGAAGAATTTTTCCTTCCCTTTCTGATCCTCCCTGAATTGCAGTACTTACGGGGTGGGTTTGTTTGGTTTGGTTTCAATTAGTATTTTTGTGCCTTTGAAAAAGGAATTTCAGTTGTTTCTTAAAAAGGTCATTTGATGGGCCCATGGTGTTCTAGAGAGACTTCAAGCCTTCTTTTCCTCTTGACCAAAGCTCCCTGCAATCCTACAGAAATTTCTTGAAAGCAGTTTAACAGTTAGAGATTTGGAAAACTGCCTAAGGTCAGGGCCTAAAAGTGAGGCTGAAGGAGAGGGCTCAGGCTTTCAGTACTGAAAAATAAAAACAAAAGCATGCCGCACTTTTCCCTGGTGAGTAAAAATCACAACCGTTGGCTAAGAGAGGCACTTGGCACCAGTTCTTTGACCATCCTATCGCCTAATGCTGTGAGAATGTGAAACCCTGCCATGGCATTAGTTATAAAGAACGCCTAAGAAAGAAATCTTGGCTACAAGGTGAGGATTGACGCAATTCTTATGTCTGCTACATCCAGACTATACCCTTAACAGATGTTTCTGCATTTATTTATAGAAAGGTTTACTTTGGTGACAAGACCATCTTCTGTCAACCATTTTTTTAATATACCTGGAAACTGAATTTTATCATGAAGAGTAATGTCGCCAAAAAAGTTATAATCAAATTCTTAGTTATAAAATAATATGAAAAATCAAATTAGAAATAGTGTAAGTAGACAGTGCAGGAAGACCCCAAATCTGATGCAAGCTAGCCGAAAATAAGTAAATTTCAAACACAACCGAGGAAGGCAAAAGTTAGTCCAAAGTGTCCCCTTCCATCCTTGGGCCCTCCTTGCTTAGCGACTATAATCCTGAATGGAGACATTGTCTTCAAATCTGGTTACTAGACTAACACTTCATATAACTTAATAGTTTTTATAAAAAACACCGCTCATTTCCGGATTAGTTTTACGTAGTTATAGCTTTAGTGCAAAGGTGCATTAGTGCATACTTCCAAGTTTTACAAGAAAAAAGAGGACTAGCAGTCACATTAAATTTTTTTCCTAATGAAAATGAATAGGCTCTAGGCCAACTAGGTATCACAGAATTCCTGTTTCATCCTCTTAGATAAGATGGGTTAGAGGCTTCTGGCTTCAACAGACCCACTCATCTCCCAAAGAAGCTGGAAGAAAGACATGCGTTGGAGGCTGATGTGCCTTGTAAAAGGGCTTGTCCATGGATGGCGCACGATGTCACCGAAAAAGCAATGAAGGGGCAACTCTGAGCAACTCGGAGCTCAGAATCCTGTGAGAAGAGACTAACTAGACTAACCACCCTAATTCCTAGAAGATATCTGGAATCCAGCCTAGTTGGAAAAGGGATTCTTATTTATTTAAATCAAAATCTCTTTTCCTACCCATCTTTCCGTCTTTAAAACCTCATCACCCTTTTTAGTTTTGTTTTCAAGGAAATCTTCTGGAAGTGAATAGTGGGCAGTTGAGAAGGAGTTACCAAAACTAAAACAATCATTATCTTTTGCCTATAAAATAAAGCTATCACTATCAGAGCCAGACACTTAAATGGCCAAGGAGATTATGATGCTTATTCCCTCGTATATAATTCAAAATGATACCAACTTACATATACACTGACATTAAAATCTCTCCTTTTTAGATGTTTATAATTGTAGAATTCTGCGTAAGTCAAGGTGCTTTGGGTTGGGATGGGGAGTGTCCCCGTCCTGCCGCTGTCCTGGGAATGTGCTTGGGGTGCCTCTGATAAATGTCAAACCTGACAGGAAGTGAGCGACTCAGGCTCTTGTACCCGGTTGTCATCTCTCTAGCCCCTATGAGGTGCAGTCGTCTCCCATGCCTGGCCTCACGAACTTTTTGTGTTGACCAAACTCCAACTCACCATCCAAGAGGCAACTCAAATGTCTCACATGCCCTGCAAACTTCCCTCAACCAGATTGATTATTCCAGGTATTCCCAAGTGGCTGGCTACCTGTACTCACTGGCACTGTTCCCAGAACATAAGAGATGTTCAGTAAATGTCCACTGAGGCTTGATGAATTCAGAGGGTTTTACAGAATGGCAGAGGGCTCTTCAGTAATGCTGACATATTGTCAGTGAAAACCCTGTCTAGCTAAATGGTTCCTTTCATCTAGATACAATTCTCCTATGACCACATGTCTGAAAAGGAGATATCTATTACATAAGTAATTGAAATGGACGAATAATCAACACATTACCAATATGTACAATTTGGGGTCAAAGGAAATGAATAAAAATTAGAAACCTCTATACGCCAATAATTATATAATTTTGATAAAATTGAAAGGAAGGTTATGCACAGGACATTTCAAAATACGTGCTTATAAGGCATTCTCCAAATTTTGATAGACAGCATCCAAGACAGTCTCCCCACATCCTTGCTTCCTGGTCTTCATACCATTGTGTATTCTCTTACCACAATGAACAGAGTTAACTTGCATAGCCAGGAGGATATCATGAAAATAATGTGTGACTTCCAGGCCAGGTCATAAAAAGACAATGCAGCTTCCATCTTGCTCTTTTTTGATCACTTGCTCACATTAAATGAATGCTCAAGCTGCCCCACGAAGACGTCCATGTAGTAAGGAACTGGGGCCTCCTGCCGACAACCCATTCAAATCAGCCAGGCATGTGAGCAAAGAGCCTTGGAAGCAGATTTTCCAGCCCCAGTCAAGTCTTCAGATAGACTACTTACAACTTGGAATGGCATCTGGACTGCAACCTTCTGGAAGACCCAGAGCCACAGCCACCCACCCTAGGACATTCCTGGCTTCCCGAGCCAAAGAAACTAGGTGAGATTAAAAAATGTTTATTGTTTTAAGTCCCCAGGTTTGAGGCAACTTGTTATGCAGCTATAGATAACTAATATATTTATTGTCATCCACATAGCCTTTATTTAAAGAATGCAAATAGAAGCTATTGATGTAAATGAACACAATAACAGGTTATTGCAATTTCTATACACTGAACTCAAGCAAAACGGAATGATTAAGAACTAAAGAGCAAAATAAATTCCAGTTCTCGATAGGTGTTACTATCCCCCCTCCTCTTTTCCCCCATAAACTGAGTGAAGGAAGCAGGCCTTTCATTTGCTTGTGGCTGTCTCTTAATGACTACTGATTTGGTATAGTCCCTTCCTCCAAATTAGGCCCACCAGGACGGATAATCAATGGACAACAGCAGCATTTTTATTACTGTAGAAACCAGAAAAGAGTTTATTGCTCTGGCTGTGTAAGTCTTGTAGGTCATATAAGAAAAGGTCTAAAGATTTTGAAGGAAGCTAGCTACTCTCCACTCTGTCACCCTAAGGTGTTCAAAAGTTAAAAAATCAGTGGGGCAGAGGGAGAGCAGTGAGGGGAAAATGGGGCAACTGTACTTGAACAACAATGAAAAAAAGTTAACAAATCATGGTCTTTTTTTATTGAAAAGAGAAAAATCCATATAAATATTCAACTGTAAATAAAATGTTACAGTACATTTTCATAAGAGAGATCTGTTTGTATCCATAACATAAATTAAAATCATGAATATTATGCAAATATAAAATTCTCCTAAATTTTTGGATTTTATAATAAAAAGTAGGAACATTCAAGGGTCTTTTTCTCCTTCAAAACCCACAGACATGCTACGTCTGAGTATAATTCAGTTCTGCTAAAAGCCATATGCAATGTTAGTAAGAAAAGTACCTTAGAATCTGTATTTCCCTATAGAACACACATCAGACAAAAGCAACATGGGAACATCAGGTAAGCACTGAGAAAGGAAAAGTATAATCTTTGGTGTGGTCCAGTGATGAAGACAGAACACGTGGCTGAGCTGCAGTTTTAAGAGAAAACATCAAATTGATGGTAACGGGAGGGAAAAAGACCTGAAGACTAGAAGAGGAAGTAGGTTCCTTCTGCAAAGGAGATGTTACACAGCTGTCTTTACCGTCACTCAGAAAGTCCAGGCTCTGTGCACTTGCAGAAGAAATGAGGTGGGATAGGCACACCCCTGGGAGAGCTGCTTTCTAAGACCAGGAAAAATTTAAAAAGTTAACTTTAAAAGTTAAATGAAAATTTTTTAATTTAAATGAAGTAAATCACAGAGGTAACAAAACCAATGAAGTTGTAAACAGTCCTTCGACAGAGAGTTTCTCTAAACATGCTAAAAAGATTCTTTGGAGGTACCCTCTGTTTTGTGTTATATGTTAGATTCGTTCCCCTACTGTACCAATGAACCCTGTCTCGTTTCTTCTGTACAGTCCCAGCACCTAGCGCCAAATCTGGCAAACTCAATAGATGAGGGTAAAGGGAAGGCCAGGCAGAGGACAAAACAGGGATCCGACATGCTATTTCCCCAGGCGGCAATGCAGGCAGTTAGCGGATACAGGTTTCTCTTTTCCTTCTCCCCACAAAGGAAGGATTCACTGAGGAACAGGGCAATTTTTTAAATAGAGAAAAAATTAATTAAAAAAAACACACATGTGGCTTTACATTGTATTTTTGTATTAACACAGATGAAATCCTAAATATCGATTCTAGCCACCACCACTCACCCTGGAAATTTTTCTAAATACTGAAAGTTGCTCTAGTTAACTTCTTCTTAGCTTATCTGATTTGATTACCCTGCTTTATCGCTGCCCATTTACCTGTCTGTTCAGTGCTGCTACAAGACAGCAAGCAAAACCCCACGGCTGTCAGGACTGACGGTCCCGACCTGAAGCATGTCTGCCTGGATGCTTGAAGGTTCCTCCTGGTTTGTTTGTTTTTTTCCTAATGGTCTCAGAGAACTAATTTTAAAAAGACCCTACCATAAAGAAGAGTAAGTTCAAATGTGACAAA